CATGATTGTAGTTGTGAACGGTAGAAGGTGAATTTGGAAATGAACTCACCTCAGATTCGAGGGTGTTCCGGACCGTGGAGATAGTGGAGAACCAGTAGTCATGGAAAATGAATGTGCATATCGTATCCGTCTTGGTGTCCGAGGAACCAACTGGAAGTGAGGAAGGTGACTTCAGAACATATAAATGAGTACACTTGATGCCAGAATACGGCTCGTTAATGCGATGAGAGCCTGAGCTCAAGAGAGATCAGGGGTGATTTGATCGTTGCTTATGGGCTCACGCGGTAGTCGACGTCGTTATGATTCAGGCTTCGAACAGCCGAGATAGCTCAGGAACCGAGATAGATCTCAGGATCGAGTGATCCCCGAAAGCCACAATAATCACCGAGTCTTGAGCATCAGTCGCGATTATGCTCGAATCTCACCATCCGTAGAGCGATGTGTTATGCACACCATCGCACTTCAATATCGAAGTTCCGTCTTGCCCACCTAGATCGTACTGTACATCCACTAGGCTTTCAATAAGAAGATGTTTCAGAACATTGTTTTCTACTGTCGCAACACGTTGGGATTGCAGATCCTCTGCAATGCCATATTTCCACTTCACGAAGCTAGTAAAGGTCACTCGAGCGCCTTGTTCAGCTCCTAGTCACAGCATCCATTTGATAGTCGAGCTGTATTTCGGAATCTGCAAGTGCATCGCTAAAGATGTGCCTCTGCGAGGTATATCGCGATCTCAACATTCTATGTGCCGGATTGACTATTGCTTTTATTTACTATCGCGTAACTTGATTGAGAAGCATTTTTAAGCGAGAGACAAACGAGCAAAGTGGGTCAGATAACAGTGCCCAGTAGTGCTGTCGATTGCAACAACTCGCAATATCTGTTGAAGAGATGGTCTCTGAGGGTCTAACATAAGAGCTTCGTCGTACATGCGTTTCGCACTTTTCAACTGTCCGGTCTGGTGTAGGAACTGCGTATATATTTCGTACATCGATGCCAGATTTCCAGCATGACTATTGCCCTCTTCACGGACTCGCTGCTTCATCACAACCAGTAGTCCCTCGAAACAACGCTCTGTCGACTCATTTTCTTTTGAATGTCCAAGCACCGCAACTGATTGTTCGTTTACAGAGGGACAAACTCAATGATGTCTTCAGTAGGCGTCGAGCCTCCAATAAGTTTTCTCGACTCTGTTTAGAAGATAGCAAGTCAGCGTCTTGTACAATTTTTCTCTTTTCGAGCACTCATTACACTCTCACATTAAATAGTATAAAAAGAGTACTCGAAAAGTTCGCCAAATTCTTTTCGTTGGTTGGATCAGCGCTGATGGGGTAGATATCCACTTCATCAGATTGGTAATAACAACTACAGAGGAATAATGCGTAGCTACCGAGATTCTATGCATAATTTTTCGTCAAGTTTTTTGGCTTTTTGATACACGTATCTCCTCGACATTACACTTGGCTTTCTCCAAGAGTTGTTCTTTCATTTCCAGTTCATGAGTCTGCGTGGGAACACGAGCGGTTGTCAACACGCTCCCTAAAGTCACCCGATCGCGACGAATATGAAAAGATACTGCGGATTGTAGATCAATGAGTTTTCTCTGCTTACCAATGTCCATTCGGTCCCACGGAGGAGGATGTCGACCGTTCGGCATTGTTCGACATCGCGTCAAAAAGGGTGATTTAGAGCCAAATTTGGTCTCTGACGAGTTGTTCAACGCCGGTGAAGCTGTTGTAGAGCCGAGCGAAGACTCGATTTGGCCAATTCGTCGAAGTAATTTGTCTTCCTCCTGTCTGGCGGATGTAGCGATGCCGGATTCGATCTCTACTGCGTGGAATTTCGCCACTGCCATCGCCTCTTTTGTCCTCTCAGCCAGACATTTTAGTGCTTCTTGATGTTTCTCAATGAGCAGCATAGCATCTTCTTGCATTAACTCGAGAGAAACGTGGTTATTGTTGGTGGAAGTCAGCACGTCGCACGTAACGAGTTCGTGACCGTAGTAGTTCTCCTGTAGCCGTCGACGCTCACGTTCGAGTGCTTGTAACTTGGCCGAGATCTCACAGAGAGATAGCTGTATTCCAGCCTTTTGCAGCGATTGGTCTACTAGACGCTGCTGCTCTTGACGAGCTGTGTGTAGTTTAGTGCGGAGATCGAATAACTCGCGCTGTAAATGCTCCACACGGTCGTCACTGAATTCAGTACTTTTAGAATCGATCTGGGCGTCAATTGCCTCCTTCTTTAACTTCGTGAATGAAAGTTGCGGCGTCAATGCATTAGCTTTCGGCTGTAGTTCTGGTCTAGAATCTCTCTCGATATTGACCGAATTATAGAAAATAAACTCGCTCGCAGTAGAATACACACTGGAATTTGTCTCCGATTTGGTCTCATCCGCTTCATCATCGTTTGAACCAGTTCGACCACTCACCGACTCAAGAGAAGTATCGAAATTTATTCGTCCGCTTTGGCTTTCCAGCTTTTTGAACGTGTTCATCAATCTCTGGATCAAAGCGTGTCGTCTCGCTTCTCCCTTCAACCCTGGCGTCTGTGTTGAAATATTTCGCAGCTCCAATACACTACGCAGCTCCGACAATGGCAACTTGTCCAGCGCTTGAGTACCAACTACCACGTCCTTATCGTCTGTATTTCCGACCACTAGACCACTCGCCACCCTGACCTGATGCAGCCTTTTGACCAACTCATCACGCCTCGCCTCCCCTCTCAATTTCCCGGTCGCTGTTGACTCGCCTAGCGCCGTCAGGGCGTCTTTCAACTCCGACAACGACAGCATTTTAGCTGGAATAGAATGTTGATGTCAAACGACAGCATCATCTACATTTAGTACTTCAGTAAGTATAAAACAGAAATATCTTGGCAGTGCTAACGTTAATGCGACCTGCATACAGGCAACCAAAGGGAACAAAATGTCCCCAACACTATAATACAGCGGTTTAAGAGCAATCCGCCTCGGTCTTGACAAAGACGTGCATGCAATTTGGTATTTGGACCCCGGCACATGGGACCCTCACAACTCAGTTCCGATTGCGCTACGTAAGATCCACAAACATCGTCGACAATGTGGTCATTCCTCTCTGGACGCTCAAACAGCACTTTACACTCGATCGACTTCCCATTACAAGCTTTACAAGATGCTATCTCCACTGGCAACGAGAGCAACGTCTGGAAAGTGCTACGTCAACAGCGTATCCGCAACGAGCTTATCCACAGCACTACGACTCACAAAGTACCAAGGGATGCGCAACAGCAGAAATGCAATGTCTTTACATGCGTCCAAGCTGCTGTTCAGGAAAATCTGCCTCGCGTCGTGCTCGCAATGTACCGCTTCAATCAAGACGACGTTCGACTCGCGACGTGGTATGCGCTTTACCGTCTGAAGAGCGATCAAAAGGTTAAACTCTCGCGTGATCTAATAGCACTTGCTCAAACTCAACGTCGCCTGTGGCTCTGGGATCGTATTGGAGCGCTTGTGCTGCTTCGACATAGGCAAGTCACTCCACGGCGAGCCAGTCAACGACAGGTCTACGCTGTACATCCCGTCGCGTTGACCCCTGTCGAAGCATTCAAGATCATTCTGAGCTTCATTGACTTGCACGAAAGTCGAGAAGCTCGCTTGCTTAAGTTCCTTATTGAAGCACGACAGTGTCCGATATGTTCGAGATTATGTATCCCCGGTCATTGTAAGGCCGGACGTCTGCGCAAGATGGAGAGACGAGTATCCAAGCGGCCATGACTTTTATATTATCATTATTTCTCCGTCCCCCCCATTCAGTAATATCTCCTTTTTTTTTATCATGTAACCCTCGTAGCCCCCTGAGTAACCTCCCTCTATTCAGTCATTTTACTTTTCGGTCATCGAATGAAACGAGCTCCCCGCAATGATTCGAGTGTCTCTCGCTTCCATGACGCGCTGCGCCACGGCCAAGTGGACGTCGTACGTCGTATGATCTATCGAGACTCTTCTCTCGCCAATGCGCGCTCCAGTTCGAGCCCACACGCGACATCTCTCATGATCTCTGCTTCCAGTAGTCAGCCCCTAAAAACCACATTAACGCTGGTAAAGCTTCTTCTAGCCAAAGGAGCTTCATTGCGCACCAAGGATGATCATCGCTGCAACGTCCTCATGGCTGCTTGCACCTCCGGAGCACATCCAAATGTCGTTAAGTGTCTTTTAGACTGGGACGACGCCGAATCGAAGCGTAGAGTTTTATCATGGAGTAATAAGGACGATGAAGGACGAACGTCATTGGGACTCGCGTGTTTAAACGGCCACGGGCGACTGGCGTCCTTTATATTGGACCTTACGAAGGATGAAGAGGCTCAAAACCCCTTGTACGCACTCGATATGGCACTTAGGAGCGAGGACGAGCGCTGTGTGATGGAGCTACTACGCAATAATAAGCTGCGATGGCTAGTAAAGTATGACAGAAGAGAGGAGAAGCTGATATCACATGGAGAGTGGAATCAGACCCAGAATCAGACGACGAACAGCTACGAGGAAGAGGTTACAGTGGCTACTTGTGTAGCCAAAGCCGTCAAGCTCAACATGGTGCGTGTAGTGAAGGAACTTCATCGACTGAATCGACTCTGCGTTGGCCATGCTACTTGGTTTGCCCTGTGCAGCAAATGCGAGGTACATCCTAGAGCTAAGACCTCGATTGTGCGGTTACCTGGTACCGTAAGACCGGAATTTGAGGAGATTGCAGCTCTGCATCGTCGAGATTGCGTGTGGCAACGTATTAAAATTGTATTCCTGATTCGCTACGCGTCTGAGCTGGATCAAGGGAATGTATTGATGGAGCTGAATATTGTGGCAGAGCTGCCAGATGCGGTGTTTCGTATTGTGGCTGAGTTCTTAAAGCCGAAGTTTAATGATGCGGACGAAGCTCAGAAGGAAAGATTTAAGGCTGTACTCGATCTCTCATCGTGGTAGACTCGTGGTATATGTGATTGAAATCATAGAACGTCAAAATATCTCGATTTGGATGTTTTAGAGGTGATCAGATAGTATTAAGAAACTTATTAAAAATAATATTTTTAATACTGAAATTATGTGTTGACAGTTGTCAAATTGAGGCTGCACCGAGCGCCACCGCCAGAGGCGAGTTGTTAAGCACACGAGCTGCACCCTTCAAACTACCAAGTACCTTCGTAAATGGATTAACTAAGTCTGGCGTGGAGTACAAGCTCGCAACTTGAGCTGTAGTGGCATCCCACTCAAACCGCACCATGATTGGAATTACTATTTGTCTTCCAAGAAGCTTTTCCGCCAGTGGTGATAGTCTGTTGTCCATATCAATGAGGTGTGAGAAGCTGAACTGCAGCACTTCTTCCGTTATAGTGACGAGCACTTTAACGGTTGCTAGCATCGTGGCTCTGTCGTCATACTCGAGCCGTACAAGCTGCACTGCCAGGCTTCCAGTCTTTTGCGGGACAAATGTCCACTCTTTCAGAAGAGCGTCGATACCGAAGCCGCTGTTAACACAAATGTTCGTCGCCATAGCCTGGTGTAGAAAAGTTTTCTGAATCTGAGCCTCTCTCGGGTGAAAAGTGTGTTCTCTTGAAATCGGCACCTGGGAGCCGTGTCGAAACAGCCGATAGTATTCCGCCACGACGCTCCAAGGAGTTTTCTCGGTGGGAGTGCAAAGGGGGCGGTTGTACTCTATTTCGAGTCGTTGGATCTCCTGTTTAAGACGTCGCGTATCGCTTTCTAGACTCTCTGCATGCTGGTTGATCTTTATGCGATAGCGTTGCTGATTTACTCGCCGGTTCTCGCGAAGTTTAACCTCTGATTCAACGAGAGCCTTCATCAGTTCTGGTGTGGTCTTATGCCTTGGTATTTTACTACATAACGAAGTAATCGTCGCCCGTATTCCTTTATTCGTTGATTCAATAGCGGAGCAGAGCGATGAATCCGAAAGACTCATTGAGTTGCTTGGACATTGAATTGCGTCGTCTCTTCAGTGGCGAAACAAACTCTACTTGCCCACAGCACTGCTCTTTTGCAGCACGTTACGCGCCGAAGCCATCTTATGCGTCTTCAGACTGTCCAACTTTGACCACTTCCGAAGGTTTCTCCACATCGTCAAGCACCGACCAAGATCCCGGAGGCATTCGCCCCGCCATCCCGCGTTCCATCTTTTTCTGTGCTACGAAATGCTAAGTAAACGACGGGTTAAGAACCAAAATATGGAGACCATATCGCGTCTCCGGGAAGTGTCCAAGGCTGATGACTCTGACGACGATGCTAGTCTCTCAGATGACAGTAGTTTTGGTGGGAATGATGCCAGTGATCAGTCATCGTTATCCTCCTCCTCATCAGAGCCTTCATCGTCATCCACGAGTGATCGATCGGTGGGATCTGACCATGATGACTCAGACTCAGACCCAGGTGATTCTAGTAGCTCTCATTTGAAGCGAGAATGCTCAAAGAAACGCAAGAGCCCTAATCGTTATCTCTCTAAGAAGAAGAAGTCATCCAAGAAGTACAAGAGGGCAAGAGCTGAAATACGGGACTCTCCAAGTTTAGAGATCCCAAAGTTAACAAGAGCTGATAACTACGAGCTGTGTCGTACCATGGTGGAGTTGAAACTTAAAGTTTTGAAGTTGTGGTCTCTGGTTGCAGAAAAGACAGTATTGGATGATTCATGGAGCTCGACAAAGAAACGGCGCTGGAATGAGCGTTGGCTACGAGCTCAGTCAGTCATAGCTGGCGATTGGATCGCGTCTTGCTGGTCGCTACAGGCGTCTGCTTGTCAACTGTGATCCTGTGTTGTTGTTCGGGAAGATAGAGAAGGAATACAATGCCGGTAGTGCAACTAAGAACGACATTTTGATCAAGACTTCTATGTTCGTGCGGAAGTTGATCAAAGAAGATCGTGTTAACACTTACATTGATTCTATAATGAAGCTTCAGGAAGGTTTGGTGAGTTTAGATCTGTCGACGTCGAGGGACCGGGACGTCTTTTCAGACAGTCGATGGTTGACGTCTGTTTGGTGTCATGATACGTCGTGCTGACATCCCGTCGACATCCTACTCCGTAACATATGCTGATTGGTTAAAAATTAATTCGACGAACTAATAAAAATGGTCTATCTCACAATGCCTCATTATCTCATTTAAGTGCAGCTAACTTGAATTCCAAGAACGATGCATCCAGCCATGTCCGGCGTGTTTTGGCCGTGAAAGATCCAAAGAGAACTGCCCCGGCTTCATTATCCAAGTTGCTTTGAGCTCTGCTGACACGTCTAACTAGATTCGGAACGCAGTGGGCGCTCGATGTACGGGAATCGCTAACCTGGGGG